TGAACGTTGGGGGGGGGGCGTGCACGATGCGTGCAGGCGGCGGGGGGAGGACGTGAAAGGCGCGTGCAAACGTGCAAGGGGGGGCGGAGGAATGAGGCAGCGGCTAAAGGGGGCGGGGTGAGAAGAGGCAGCAACCTGGGCCACCCTAGAGCCCAAAGCCCCAGGCTTCTGCTCCCAGTTCCCCCGACCTTCCCCTGTGGGCGCGCGGGCTCACCCCATCCTCGCGGGCAGTCAGGCTGGGGGGTGTGGATGCCGCTGCCCCGCCCCCGGGAACCACGCCTCCCTCCTCTCCGAGGGACAGCGCCTCCCCGGGGGCTGGGGAAACTGAGGAAGAGGCCTGAAGACTGGGTGGTCTCATTCTGGGGGGTCGGGCCAGAATGGGGGCGAGGGGCCTGGAGCCTTGGCTTAGGAGAGCCAGAGACCTTTGTCTCTGACCAGTTGCCTTCCCAACCAGGGTTGCCCACCCCCGCCACAATGGCCTCTGGGGTGGAAGTGCTGCGCTTCCAGCTGCCCGGCCACGAGGCCGCTACGCTGCGGAACATGAACCAGCTCCGTGCAGAGGAGCGGTTCTGCGACGTGACCATTGTGGCCGACAGCCTCAAGTTCCGCGGCCACAAGGTCATCCTGGCCGCCTGCTCACCGTTCCTGCGGGACCAGTTCCTGCTGAACCCCAGCTCTGAGCTGCAGGTCTCTCTGATGCACAGTGCACGAATAGTGGCCGACCTGCTCCTCTCCTGCTACACGGGCGCCCTGGAATTCGCTGTCAGGGACATCGTTAACTACCTGACTGCCGCCTCCTACCTGCAAATGGAGCACGTGGTGGAGAAATGCCGGAACGCCCTCAGCCAGTTCATTGAGCCCAAAATAGGCCTCAAAGAGGATGGGGTCAGCGATGCCAGCCTTGTGAGCAGTGTCAGTGCCACCAAATCCCTCCTCCCTCCTGCCAGGACCCCAAAGCCAGCCCCCAAGCCCCCACCCCCACCCCCTCTACCCCCTCCCCTCCTGCGGCCTGTGAAGCTGGAGTTCCCACTGGACGAGGACCTGGAGCTGAAGGCCGAGGAAGAGGATGAGGATGAGGACGAGGACGTGTCTGATATCTGCATTGTCAAGGTGGAGTCGGCCCTGGAGGTGGCACACCGGCTCAAGCCTCCCGGAAGCCTGGGAGGAGGGCTGGGTATGGGAGGCTCCGTGGGCAGCCACCTTGGGGAGCTGGCCCAGAGCAGTGTGCCCCCCAGCACTGTGGCCCCACCACAGGGTGTGGTGAAAGCCTGCTACAGCCTGTCTGAGGACGCGGAAGGGGAGGGCCTGCTGTTGATCCCCGGAGGCCGGGCCAGCGTGGGGGCCACCTCGGGCCTGGTGGAGGCAGCAGCAGTGGCCATGGCTGCCCGGGGGGCGGGGGGCAGCCTGGGGGCGGGGGGCAGCCGCGGACCCCTGCCCGGGGGCTTCTCCAGTGGAAACCCCCTAAAGAACATCAAGTGCACCAAGTGCCCGGAAGTGTTCCAGGGCGTAGAGAAGCTGGTCTTCCACATGCGGGCACAGCACTTCATTTTCATGTGCCCGCGCTGCGGCAAGCAGTTCAACCACAGCAGCAACCTCAACCGCCACATGAACGTGCACCGCGGCGTCAAGTCGCACTCGTGTGGCATCTGCGGCAAGTGCTTCACGCAGAAGTCCACACTGCACGACCACCTCAACCTGCACTCCGGCGCGAGGCCCTATCGCTGCTCCTACTGCGACGTGCGCTTCGCCCACAAGCCTGCCATTAGGCGGCACCTCAAGGAGCAGCACGGCAAGACCACAGCCGAGAACGTGCTAGAGGCCAGCGTGGCCGAGATCAACGTCCTCATCCGCTAGCGTTAGCGGGGCAGGCGGCTGGGTCCCTGGGCTGGGTGGGAAGGGGGCTCTCTGGCCCAGGAGAATAGGGGGGTGGGGGTCGGGGGCAGGCAGGTACGGTGGGGAGCTAGAGCAGACACACACATCCTGAGAGAGGGGCAGAAGATTACTTGGAGAGAAGACCCTGCCTCTTCAGAAGAAAAGAATGGAGAGGGAGAGGGTTCTTTGAGAAGGCAAAGGAAATACAGAGTCCCAGAGAAAGGTTTTCTTTTAGAAGTGCATGGATATGTGAAGAGAGGGAAAGGGTCCTATAGAAACGAGGAGGAAAAAGGACTGGAAATGGTTATATTCCTGGCTAAGGCTGCCCAGGGAGACGTTCTGACATTTCTTGAGGTAGGGGGCGGGTGGGGGGGAATTGGGAGGGAATTTGGCAGGAGGCAGCTTACATGCTCCAGCTTAGAATAGATCCTTGGGAGAGGGAGTGGTAGGGGGAAGGGATTCTCAAATCCCAGAAAAGGAAGGGGAGACAGTTCTTGCATGCTGGGGGAATGGGGCTGTGGGTACAAGGCTCGCCAAAACTCCAGAGAGAACAAAGTAGGGTGTCAGGTAAGAGAACATGGGGGTGAGCATCCTGGGTAGATGTTGGGAAGTGGGGTACAATAGCAAGAACGGTGAATAGTGGTGGGGGTGGGGGGTAGGGCACTTAGAGGAAAGGACACAAGAAGGGCTGTTTGGGGGGAGGGAGAGGAGTAGAGACTTATATACAGTATTTTTTAAGAAAACAACGTATTTTTTAGGATTTTTTCTGGAGTTTGGGGCTTTAGTTTTTCTGCTTTTGTTTTCCACAAAATAAAAAAAACAAAACCTTTTTTTTCTTTATACTCTGTCTGGTGACTGCGTGTAAATGACTATCCCACCCTAGGCAGCCTCTCCTTCTGATGCCATTTGCTCAATACCTGGAGGTCACAACTCATGCAAGTCCCATGCCTGAAGGAGCCCTAACAGGGAAGAGGGAGTGTGACAAGTGGGCTCCTCTGGCCCAGGACCCTCCCAGTTCTGCAACCTCAGCGCCTGGCAGATATAACACAAATGTTCTGTGATTGTTTGGCAGTGGTAACACATGACCTGCTCCTCTATCTGAGGAGTCTGGTATCAGGGCCAGGGATAGGCTCTAGGTGTGACCGTTGTGCCCACCGAGATTGTAAGCAGGAGCCTGTGTTTGGGCATTCTTGGTCTGGGGAAAGGGTTCATGTCCTCAGGAAAGCTAAAAATCACTGGATTAGGGTCTAGGGAAGACTACAATTCCCAGAAAGCTCTGGAATAGTTCTTAACCAAAGAGAACTACAGTTCCCAGAAGGCTTTGAATTGGCCTCAGGTGCCCTATCTCCCAATCACCTGTCTGTGTCAAATACTGCGTGTGAAATCATACAGATATTTTCCAGACTCTGATCAGAATGTAATACCTAAAGGGATGGTACCCTAAACACTGCTATCAAGTTGGTATAGCTTGGTGTAATATCATTCATACTTCCACTGTCGGCTGGGCTATGACCCACGGAGTGCCTGACTCTGCTAGTGAAGTGTTTGTCAAAAAAGGTTACTAGAGTGTCACCAGACACTAATGACTCTTAGGCCGCTGGGGGGCTCACCTGGATTCCTATGCATGTGGCGGCGTAACATGTCTGGCATAAACATAACAGACATTTAGCCCCAGGTTTTCAAAAGGGGACGCTGCTCCAGGGGACATGAAGCAGCACGCTAGAACCAGCCAAGAGGAAAGCTGTCCTCCGCGCGTCCCCATCGCCTCCTTCTTGCTCGTTAGAGAAGCGAGGCCAAAACTGAGGCCGAGCCTTCTATCTGGTGACCCAGAAACTGAAAGCAACCAGAAGCGGGAGAAGCACACGCAGGCCAGATTGGAAATAGAACCGCTGCCGAGAGCCGGGAGAATCAGACGCTCCGCTTGTTACCTAAAACCAGAGGGGGGATGCAGAAGCCACACGTGGACCCAGGCGTGCCTCGCCTTCGGTTCCCCGCTGAGGCGAGGCCAGGAATGGAAGGAATTCTCCCCTGCAGCCCCCAGCCTAGGACAGCCACTGCCATCTCCAAGGCCGCTCTCGGGGAAAAAGGCCAGAAAGCACGTACTGGCTCCTTTAAGGCTCCTCCTAGCCCGCCCTCTCCCGCCCACGTGACCCGGGGCGGCCGCGCGCCGGCTCGGCCCCCCGCGCAAGCGGCGATGGCGGCGGCGGCGGGAGCTGCAGCGGCGGCGGCCGCCGAGGTGCGGAAGGGGAGGGGGAGAGGCGGGTGCATGCCCGCGCGCGCGCCCGGGGGAAGCGCGCGCCCGTGCAATGCTCCGGGGGTGCAACGGGGCCGGGGGGCCCGGGCGGGACTTGCAGCAATCCGGAGGGCCAGCACTGGGGGCGGATGAGGGGACCAGGGGGTGGGAGGTGGGGGGAGTGGGCACGGAGGCGCGCGTGCAGCCTCCGGCTGCCCCCGAGTGGGTGGCGGGCGCCGGGGCCCCAGGAGCACGCGCGAGGGGCACGAGGGGCCGTCCACCGGGCTGGGGGGCAGCGGGCGCTGGAGGGGTTGGTGCCCGGGGTCCCCGCGGCCTGGGGGACAAAGGGGGAGCTGCGCGTGCAGCCGGGAGGAGGGGGCGGGGCCGGGGCGCGGAGGCCCCGCCCCCTCCCCCTTCTCTCTTCTCGGCCCCTGAGATGCGGGGTCTACCGAGAGGGAGGGGGTTGATGCGGGCCCGGGGGAGAGGTCGTGCGGCCCCTCCGGGCAGCCGAGGCCGCGGAAGGGGGGGCCCCCATAGAGGAAGAGGTAGGCCCCGGAGCCTACTCTCTCTTCCCAGGGCCCAGGCGTCCTGGGCCCCCCAACTTCCTACTGGGCTGACTAGTCCTCCTATCCCTTGTGTCCCCTCCCAGGGGGAGGCCCCCGCTGAGATGGGGGCGCTGGTGCTGGAGAAGGAGCCCAGGGGAGCCAGCGACAGAGGTGAGTTTCTGGAAGAAACTGCCCGGTTGGACCTTCACCTCCCACAACACAGGATTCCTTGAGCCCTTAAACCTGAACTTTTTTCTTCCCTTTCAGTTCATGGCTCTGTGGGGGACACCCCTCGTAGTGAGGAGACCCTGCCCAAGGCCAACCCCGACTCCCTGGAGCCTACTGGCCCGTCATCCCCAGCCTCTGTCACCGTGACCGTTGGTGATGAGGGGGCTGACACTCCTGTAGGGGCCACACCGCTTATTGGGGATGAACCGGAAAATCTCGAGGGAGATGGGGACCTCCATGGGGGCCGCATCCTGCTGGGTGAGAGGCTGGGGAGTCTAGGGGGTGAGGTGGGGTATCCTCTGACTCTGCCTTCCCTCTTATCTTGCCTTCTGCCTGCCTGCCCTGTCTGTTTTCCAGGCCATGCCACAAAGTCCTTCCCGTCTTCTCCCAGCAAGGGGGGTGCCTGTCCCAGCCGGGCCAAGATGTCAATGACAGGGGCTGGAAAATCACCCCCATCAGTCCAGAGTTTGGCTATGAGGCTGCTGAGTATGCCGGGGGCCCAGGGGGCAGCAGCAGCAGGGCCTGAACCCCCTCCGGCTACAACCAGCCCAGAGGGGCAGCCCAAGGTCCACCGAGCCAGGAAAACCATGTCCAAACCAGGCAACGGACAGGTGAGGATTGGGGGAGGGCTGCCGGGAGTGGGAGAGACAGGGGTAATCAACCGTAAACCCCTTGTGGGCTTTTCTACAATTTAGCTTTAAGCGGTCTCTAATCTATTCACAGCCTGATGTATTTACCAAGGAGCTACTGTGTGTCAAATTCTAGGCTGGGGCTTAATCTGTGAACAGACAGATTCCTGTCTTTCTGGAGTTAACATTCTTGGGGAGAGGGGAGTAGAAGAGAGCAATGTCAATGAGCTAATTATGTAGTTAATGCCTTAATTACTCTTATGGTAATGACTATGTAAAGAAACTTTAAACCACTCTTCCTTTCTACCTCAAAGCAAGTCTCAAGGGAACTTTTCCTCCCTTCTTTGAAGCTGCCCCTGCTCCATTTTTAAAGATTTTACTATAAATCTCTACAGGGAAGGAGATGAGGGCCACAGAAATGACAGAGGAGGAAAATGACAAAGGCCCCAGAATCTCAGAAGCTTTATGACAGTGTTCTTAGGGCTCTGGATATCATTTTGTTCTGGGTGTGGTTTGGGTAGCTTTGGTGAAGGCCTTAACCTTTGTTTTCTCACCTGTAAAATGGGGAGAAAGGGCTTGCTTCTGTGTGAAGAGGTGAGTGAGTGTTAGGTATGGGATGTGCTTGACACACTTCCTCCCAGGATACAGCAGTTCATGTTCTGGTTACTGGAGCTTCAGAGGGCATTTTTGAGGGTGTGGCTCACCACCCCACCCCCACTTGGGGCTCCAGGCTAAAGGCTCCCTGACCTTAAATGTGCTCCCTCTTGCCCCCAGCCCCTAGTCCCTGAGAAGCGGCCCCCTGAAGTGCAGCATTTCCGCATGAGTGATGATGTGCACTCGTTGGGGAAGGTGACCTCAGGTCAGTCCCACCCCCCACCCACCTGAGGCTTGGTCTGGCCTGTCCTGACAGGTTAGAGCACAGACCTCACGCCTTTCTCTCTCTCCTTCCAGATGTGGCCAAGAGGAGGAAGCTGAACTCAGGAGGTGGCCTGGTGAGCCAGGAGAGGCAGGGAACAAGCCCTCTCCGCTTGGGGGGCTGCCCTTCCAAGAAATGGGAGGTTGATGGGGGGGGGGCAGCTTCAATTTTTTTATCTTTTTCTAGTCGGAGGAGTTGGGTTCTGCCCGGGGTTCGGGAGAAGTGACCCTGGAGAAGGGGAACCCCGGGTCCCTGGAGGAGTGGGAGACAGTAGTAGGTGACGACTTCAGCCTCTACTACGATTCCTACTCTGTGGATGAGCGTGTGGACTCTGACAGCAAGGTGAGAGGGAGCGGCCGCCCTCCTGGCCAGCACCTCACCTCATCCAGGGCTTGCACTCCAGTCTTGCCTGCCCCCTTTTTCTCTCTTTCCTTCTTATCTTCTGAACAGCCACTAATTTACTGCCGCATCCTGTCTATAACTTATTTCCAGTGTGTGTTCCACCCCATTCCATCCCTTTACCTCTCTCCACAGTGGTGACCACCATCGTGGACTTTGGGTTCAGCACCCCATTTTATGGTTTATTTGTTATTTGTTTCTTCTTTTGCTTTTTGTTTGGTTTTGTCTCATACATGTTTGATTATGTGATATAGTGCTTAGTCTTGCCTGTCTTGCTTTCATTTAACGTTTTATTATGGAAACTTGCAGATATACACAAAAGAATAGAGGAATGAGCCCCAGGTGGCCATCACCCAGCTCCCACAATTATTAAAACACAGCTGATCTTGACTTATCTCTTCCTTCCCCAACCTACACACCTACTGGATTGTTTCAGAGCAAATCTCAGGCATCATATCATTTTATCTACAAATATTTCCATATGTATCTCTAAACATAAGGCCTATTTCTGTTTTTTGGTGTGGAAGATTGGCCCTGAGCTAACATCTGCCCATCTTCCTCTACTTTATATGTGAGACGCTGCCACAGCATGGCTTGATAAGCCGTGCGTTGGTCCGTGCCTGGGATCTGAACCCGCGAACCCCAGGCCACTGAAGCAGAGCGCACAAATTTAACCACTACACCACTGGGCCAGCCCCCTATTTCTGTTTTTTAACATCACTGCATTACTATTTTCACACCTAAAAAATTGGCCAG